TCACAACTATGAGATGTTTCTAAATAAAGCCTTTATTATGGATAAATACTAAGAATGGGAGAAAGTGGGGATGGACTGACTGACTCACTGTGTGAGACCCTTAAAAATAACAAAGAATAGAAGGAGGAGGGGGATTTTGAAGGATAGGGGACTTTCCTAGTATTACACAAGTCATACCAAGTTATCCAACTGACTGTGGGAAAGGTGTCTAAATGGTCTACAAAACATAACAATCTGTTTCCTTTATTTCAAATGCTTTTGTAGTAAATGTTTATATATTAACTTTTTTTTCTTCTTATAAGTAACTACTGTTTTAACACTTGTTGCAAGATTTCCTTTTAATTTGTCTGTTGATATTTCAAATATACAATTTGCATTTCTCCTTAGAGTTTGGCAAGAATGGGAGATAGAGAACAATACCTTCACTTCTATGATGATGAAAGATGGAGATCCCTGTGGAAGTATTTTCAGATCAGTCAAAGTGAGACTTCTAAAGTTTAAGCATTTTTATGTACAAAAAGAAAGGAATAACACTAGAAATATTTCATTTCTTTTCCTAGACAACTTTTTACTACTGAGTTTGTAGGCAGTGTGTACCATAGAAAATTCTTCTCTTTTGCTCCAGCCTGGTATAAAGTGTTGGTTATACTTGGTTATTGGTCTGTTTCTAGTGGGATAATTTAGACTAGAACTTTAAACTTAAGACAAAAATTTTATTGTCACATTTTTTTTTTTCTTGTTAATTTGTATTTTTTTTTTAAGGAACTCAGAAATAAAAGAAAAAAAAATGTCATAGCATGATTACATTTCCAGTTTATAGTAAAAATATTGAATAAGATAGATAGAAGTACATACAAAACTAGACATTAGAAAATAGCATTGCTCCCTATATTTAGGGATTTCAAATAAATAAATAAATAGCTATATATATATATATATATATATATATATATATATATATATATATATATATATATATATATATATATATATATAGTATTTTCTTATTTGTGCTAAGGGGGAATTAGCTTTGAATCATGGTCACTTTGCTTTGAATAGATGGTTTAATTTAACATTATTAAAAAGAGGAATCATCTAGTTATATATATATATATATAACTATTATTATTATTATATAATATTTCTCATATCCTGTGAACACGAAGAGGACTGTAAAGTCCAAACCTCACTTTTAAAAACCGGCCGCATACATGGCATGGGGTAGGTTTGATTAGTTCTAGATAACAACAACAAATCATCTAGTTACTGTTGTTCTAGAACAAAAATTTCTGACGACAGTGTGGACCAAAAACTTGGAATTACATTGTAGTGGAGTACAGCTTATTTCAATGTAATGGTAAATGTACATTTAATAGAAACTGGACACCTCCATGTTAATACAAAGAAGTGCACAATTAAAATAAAGAGTTTAATTTATAACTCATTCTTATACTGTAATAATGGATATAAAATTTTTTGTGCTGTGAAATGCTTTAAAAAAAAACTCAATTTTGTGTGACTCTCTTTAGGTACTGAATTTTAGCTGGATTGAACAATTAATTCAACTCTAATTGGTTTTAAATTCAATAGTTTCTAAAGATTTCTTATCCAGTGGTTTGCATCTTTCCATTTTGTTCAACCTAAATTTCTTGATTACAGATTACATTCATGTGTGGAAACCACAGTGAGATAGTCAATGCTAGTGAGCCTCAGACTTGTCATTACCACCTGGTGTTTAGGACACCACTTGTCTGTCACCCAGATTCTATGCTAGTCTATCCAACCCTCAGCCCCTGAATTACAGAAAGAGTGGGATCATCTTGAGCATGTAATGGCAAGACAGGAGTTAACTGCAAAGGTGATTGGTTTTGAAACAATTGCATTTAGGGATGTGTGACTGAATGGTATAAACCATTTTTTCTACCTTACTCGGGGGGGGGGGGGGGGGGGGGGGGGGGGGGGGGGGGCTTGAGTTCAAATCCAAATTTTGTCAAGAAATTTTTTATTGGAGTTCAGACTCATGGTGAGTTTAATTTGTTGGACGCCTGCATGGAAAACTTTCATATCCCCCCCCCCCCCCCCCCCCCCCCCCCCCCCCCCCCCCCCCCCCCCCCCCCCCCCCCACCCCCCCCACTATGTCCACAAAAGAGTTTTGACCAGAGGGTAATGATCATATAGAAGCATGGATGAAATACTATATAAAAATTATATAAAAAAGATACTTGTAACATGCAAATGAACTGCAAAATAGCTCATTCTTTTTTATTTAATTAGAGAATTTTAAGTATCATTCAATGTCTAGTTCTATCTCACATAGTTGACATTTCCACTTGAAGTACTATCACTTTTTTACAAGTACAAAAGTAAGGTTTCTCTTTCAGACCTAAAAGCTAGTGTGGCAAAAAAAAGGAAAGGTCACTAAGTTATGTGGTTGTGATGCTGGCATTGGGTGGTAAATACAATTCTGTAAACTTTAGTTTTAGTGACTCAACATCCAAGCATAGCTGGGGATAGAACTGGTGAAAATATCCAACAAAATGTTCTTCAAGAATTGCATTATTTAATTATCCAAATCGTAATCATAAATTATTATGCACACACAAAGTTCTTAGTTAGAATGCACCATACAATTGAATATCAAAACTACATAAATAAATAAGTTACTATAAGATACTTATACATTAAGGAACGACCTCCTTTATTGTCTTCAACCCAAGAAAGTGTCATAACACTCCAGCAATGGAAGTTAAATTTTAGTTTTTTAATTACCTCTACAGCATTATTTTACTCTTCTTTTTGAAAACACATGAAACATCTAGAACCAATGTACAATTATTCTGTTTATGTTCTGGGCTGGACCCATTTGATTATATGACAGTGCAGTCAACAGTTTACTAAGGTGCTATGTAGCTAGATTATTGACCAAACAACTTTCAATTTCTCCAAAAGATATTAGGTATTCTGAAAAGCAAAACTTTGCTTCAAGATTTCCATTGGGGCCCTTGATTTATCAGTTTTGCACTCTGCCATCACATTATAATATATTTATATCAGTCATCAATGTTTCAAAGCACTCTGCCATCATATTATAGTACATTTATATGTCATCAAAGTTTCAAAGAGATGATCAAACACATTTTGTGAAACAATTTTTTTTGTTGCTTTGATTAACATTGATAAGGTATGAAATCTGCATCAATTACAGGGTTACCAGAAAAGGTTAAGAAAACTCTTTGAAAAGGCTGGCTTAATGTTGAGTAGAGAGCAACACACAACACTTTTAAAGAAAGCAGAACTAGTGGAGAAAGCAAAAATCAGTGAAGGAGAATTTGAATCTCTAGATACTTGTAAAGTGGTAAGCATTGATAGCTCAATCAGTGGGTTCATTTTAAAATTATTAACATAATTCCTGTAGAGAATTATTGATGTAGATGCATATTTTTTTACTTGGGTCATTTTGAAAACATACATATTAAATTTATCCTTTAGCTTGTATGGTTCAACATTTTTTCTTTATTTTTCAATCTTTAGGAATTCAAGAAACTCCAAGAGCGAATTAAACTCTTAGAAGCACAACTTACATTTGAAGGTAAAGATGGGAGCATGTTTGAAACTTACATTCAAAACATTAATTAGAAAATGTTACTTAGCTATACTATCTGTCTGTTACTATCAGTGAATCTTCACCTTCTTTGATAGAACTTTGGGGCACTACATGTTCTCCGCCAACCAATTTCGTCCATCCTTTTCCCATTGTTAATTCTTTTTTTCCCCCATTGTGTCTATTGCTTGTTAGTTAAACTTGTAGAGATCTTTGCAAGTCTTGAGGATTTTGCACCATGACCATATCACCTGAGCTTTTCTCTTTTGACTATTGTCTATTTCCTATGCAGAAGTATACTGACTAAAATGGTAGCCTACTCAGAGCTATTGGATAATTTCAGCTATTTTTCATCTGTGCCAGACTGTCAAGATCATTTGGGAATTAACAAAACATGGTACAATTTAGTAAATTATATAGATATTTAACTCTTTCTCTCCTGATCGACGATACCATCGTTGATTTTGACCTCATTAAAATGAATTAACGTTTAATTTTATAAGTTGACTTTGTGTTTATAAAACATTTCCCTTTAATTCTATACCAAATACAACGTTTTCTGATAACAAACAACAAAGCTATTGAATCTTAATCATAACAGGGGAGTGAAATAGTAATGAGCAAAATGAAGAATTCCTTCGTAACTTGGACAAATAATTACGGAGAGAAAGAGTTAAGATTTCTACACTTGGGTGGAATTTTTTATATCATCTTTTGGTGGTTAGCACTTGTCTTGAACTTTACCAGTCTTTTTAACAGTTAATATAAATTATTCACTTTTTTTTTGTTTCAAGCCATTCATATTTTTTTGTACATTGATTCATAACCTGAGGGGAGCAAATTGTTTGTGAGAAAAGCACACATTAAATAGTACCCAACCTTTTAATTATTTGACTTTTTGGATAGACCTAATCATCCTCTTTTCTGATCTGATCCACCTGGTTCAGTCTGCTGCTATTAAGATTTAAGGGTCTTGTGTTCATGTGTACAGGTAACTTGGTCTAATTTGGTAAGAATTGTTTTACATGACAAGATTGATAGATTCAAGACTTTTTCTTTCCTTTTATTATAAGAGAATGTAATCAGAATTAGTTCACTGAACTGTATATTATAAGGTAGGATAATAGTGTCAATTAGTTAGTTATTATACATAACATTCTATTCTCTTGATAACATTAACTACTTTGTATTTAGAACTATTACTACTGTCTTTATTTGAGCTCTTGTCTATGTATCCAATTGCGTCCTTTCAAAACAGTTAACTACATCTAAATTGTTTCCAACTTTTAAGAAATTCTTTAAAGGATTAGAGTTTTATTTTTAAAGTTCTCTTACTAACAAGTTATGTTCCCTAAAACTTAAATATTTTATGGCTCTTGATTTAGATCTATACCCCATAGCTTTTTATTAATTAGTAATAATAATTTACATAGCACTGTTAACAAACATAATGTAAGCTGAAGGCATAATGTATGCCTAGGGGCTATGAGAAGATAACAGAAACAAAGTATAGTTAAAATGGCAAACTAATCTAAATAAGTTTTGAACAGGTAGGTTGTAATGTTCTTTTTGGTTTGTCTTAGCTCCATGTACTGAAAAAGCCTGCAAATCATATTTTTTAAGGGAAAAATAAGGCACAGCTCAAAATAATTTTTTTATGTCACTAACTTTTAAATCTTGTTTCTATCTATTATGCTTAGTAATTTAGACTTCTCAAACTTCTAATGTCTCTTGTTGCCACTTTATCCCATTCAATTATTTTTCATAATTGTAACAGAAACATGGAAAAAAATGTCTCTTTTTTTTGGTCTTTATTACAGGGCCTGATGAAAATGATTTTTCAGATGACCATTTACCTGATAAATAGAAAGTATGTTGGCCTAACTTTATATGAATATTTATATTTACCAAAAAAAATGGACTGCTTTTTTGGTTTGATGTGAAAATGTTGGCTGTGTATTAAATCTGTTTACATAGGATTATTTATGTATTTCATTGATGATGACATGTTCTGTTATTAAAAAAATTAGTTAAGCCAACTACAATTCTTTGGCTCCAAGACAATATTATATAATGTGATATCATGGCTGCAATTTTGGTCTTTACGATATTATAATAATGGTTAAACTAAATGATAATGCAAGCTTTGTGTATTGTTTATGTCATATATTCAGAGGCTCATTGTAAATAATAGGGTTTATTAGTTGATGTTATTCTTGGATATGACATGACATTTATCCTGTGACTTGTACACACATTGTTTTTTGAATGATAAGTATTATTTAGTTTTGTCATGCATCAGTGACATATTTTTTTTCCACATGATAAGTGTATATTAGAAAGTTTTCGCATCATTTCCTTTTCCAAATAGTGGTTATTTTTATGTGTCAATATGTTTTGAAAAATAAAACAAACTTTACTTGTATTTACTTTGCTCAAATTTCCACTATGGTTATATAATAACCAGATTTTTTTGGGAAGTAATTTTTTCTACTTTGTATTTTTTCAAATGAAACCAGCACTGTAAAGTATAAATAGTATGTATTAATAAATAATTCATTAAACCATTAACCATGTGTTCTTGTTTAAATAGCATTGCAGTATATCAAGTTTCTTTTTTTTTGTAGTTCCTATTGTTAAAAGTTGTACATCACTCATTGGATCCTTATTTAAAATCTGGGATAATATAAACATTTTTGTTTCTGTTATTTCAAACAATAAAATGAAAGGAAAATGAAATACAATTGTTTTGTCTTTATTTCTAGGTAAAAACCTGATTCTCAATAACAAGCTTTTAGATCACAAACAGAAATGGTTTCAAACAAATAACAATCTAAACAGAAATCTCATTGAACAATGTTGATCACCAATGAGTAAGAACAAATGTAAATAGTGACATTTCTTCCTCAGTAAAAAGAAATAAAACTGCCATTGAGATAAAACCAGATAATCAACATAAGTGTACAGTACAGAGATGTGGGCACAGAGATCAAAGAGAATGAACTAAATAGTTTTCAACAACTTTAATATGCTCCAGCAAGTCAGTAAAAGTCTTTATAAACCAAACCTCATTCAACACATTCACTGAGAGCATACAAAGTAGAGATATTGTTTTAGAGGACATAACTTGTTAGGGAGAGAACTTTCAAAATAAAACTCTATTAAAGTTCAAAATGAACTTGGCAGACAAAATGAAGTCAAGGTAAAACAACTTTATTCACAAGATTTGGCTGCACAGGGATGAATACATGTAATGCTAAAATACTCCGGGTAGGTAAAAGTCACTAAGAGGTTTCAAATCAATAGTAATGGGAGATAATGATGATTATGTAATGACAGTAGGTTCCTCACGACCAGTTAATTCCTTCAGTTTCGATGTTCGTAAAGCAATAGTCACTAGAGGCTTAAGGACTTCCTGAAATAAAATAAAATAATTAAATGCAACATTGATTTCCATAAACTGAAGAATACTATTTATAAACTATTAAATTACACAGCTTTGTGGTTAGCTTTTGTATCACACTATTTTTATCATGTAGTAAGCGCTGTGATCTTACAACACAAATGGCCCAAGTTCAAATTCAAAAGCTACTAAGAGCCAGTTGCCTAGTCAAGGTTTAGGGAGAATGTTGTACTTCAGTGATACAATTTTTGTCAGTGGACAAGAAAAGCAGAAACTAATCTTACACAAGTTGAATAAGAATTTACATAATGAACCAAACAAACCTTTTTATTGTACATAATAAGAATGCTATGGTAAAACAGTTTCTATTTAAAAAAATGTCACAAGTTTTAAAAGTGGGCAACTATGTTTTCTCATATTTGTTTTTCTGGTTGTTTATATCATGCAGCAGTGCTGGACAAGTGACTTTATATCTGGTTGTTTATATCATGCAGCTGTGGTAGACAAGTGACTTTATATCTGGTTGTTTATATCATGCAGCTGTGCTGGACAAGTGAATTAAATTTGAGATTACAGAGTTTAAGACTCAGAAACATTTAGAGACCAAGCTGTTTTTTTTTTTTTAAATGATAGAATAAAAAGTATAAACATAAAGCACTTTGCAAGAGAAAAAAGAAATAATTGTTTTGCTGATCTAGTAAGATACATTTCATAACAGGTTTAAATTTAGAAACAGTAAGGTAAACAATTTGAAAAAAACTTGAACCTGTGCGTCCTGGTGATACAATTGTGGGTTTGGATATTTCTCATACCCCTCCACATAGATACGAATTGTGGCACCTGAGCTACCTGTTCCACTTAAACGATAAATGATTCTGGAGCCATCCTCAAACATAAATCGTATACCCTGCAAAACAATTCAGGCAATAGATTTCATTTCAAGATTGATCATAATTTTATTTAATATTTGAATCATAAACTGTAAAGGTGCTGGATCTTATGTAAAAATATTGGCTACAAAACATGAGTTTAAAACAGAAATAGATTGTGACCTCTTACTTGATTTTTACTAATGCTTCCATCTACTGGATCTTTGTATTCAAAGTTGTCCAAATTGGCCATCTTATAAGACTTGCCAGTTGGATCAGAGAAGGTCATGCCTTTTGTTTTAGGATCTTCTATCAGTTTGGTCAGGAGTTCCATCATTTTGTCTCCGGATTCAGATGAAACATTTTCATAGTCATATCTGAGTTAAAATACAATTTAATCATTAAACATTTATTTAAATATACCCTTTGATTACTAGCCTGTTCAACTATTTAAAAATTGTTCAACATAGCTAATGTGTATTGGCATACACTCAACAAAAAATTCTAAATGTGGGATTCAGCATGAAACTATTAATGTATATAAAAACAAACAAAAAAAGTATATAGGGGTAGTTCATTTGTTTAAACTGACATTGTGTTTTGATTTTGACTAAAACATTCAACTAGGAGCTTACCTGGTAAAAAAATTTCTTCCATAGACTACCCAGTGCTGTACTAGAACATCCTTGACACTTTTATTGGTGTGTTCTAAAACAGACAGCCAAGCCAAGGCTGCCCATATACCATCTTTTTCTCTAAAACCAAATGTGTAGTATATTAATTAAAAAGAGAAACATATAGCCACTGTGAAATTGGAATACATCTGGTATATAAATACTACTTTTGTTGAATTCTCTTTCGCTTGATGTTTGCATTACTGGGTCGGGTTTGTTAATTCTAAGTTAACATTTGTTTTATTTAACCAATATTGGACACATCACCATTGTATTATATCTGTCCAACTTATTAACAGTTAATGTTTCTCAAAAAAGAAAACTAACCTGATATGATCAGATCCTGTACCAAAACTCTCCTCACCACAAAGATTAATTTTGCCAGCATCCATAAGATTACCAAAAAATTTCCAGCCTGTTGGAACTTGGTAGCACTCTTTACCAGAAAGTTGTGCAACTCTTTAGTTTAACATTGAAATAAAAATGAAAATAAACTATTCCATGGGAATACAACCTAAGTTTAGATCAAATCATTAAAAAGCCAACTAGATTAAACAACACATTAGATCTCTTCTTAACCAACAGACCTGGATTAGTAGTTGATTATATTATCCCTGGTCTATCAGACCATGAGATCATAAAAATACACAGTCAGATAAAAGCAGTAGCCAATACAAAACCCAAAAGAAAAATCTTACTCTGGAATAAATGTAACCTAACACAACTACACCAAGCTGCATTAAACTTTCAACAAACATTCTTATTAGAAAAAGACATTAACCAACCAGTCGATGACCTCTGGAATTTCATCAAAAACCATCTTAAAAGCATTATAGAAAATTATATACCAACTAAATACACATCAAGCAAAATAAATAAATGCTGGTTTAATAATAGACTAAAGAAGCTTTGTAAACAGAAGGAAAACCTATATAGAAAATTTAAAGAAACCAAGGCAGAAAGAGTTCACAAAAAGTATATAAAAATTAAACACCTAACCCAAAAAGTAAGCAGACAGCTGCAGAGTGAATACATAAACAATGTAATATCTAAAGATAACAACAAAAACCTATGGTCTTACATTAAGTCTAAGAAAATGGAAACAACAGGCTTAGCGCCATTAAAAGATGAACATAACATAATACATAATGATAATGAAACTAAAGCAAACATCCTAAACAAATACTTTGCATCAGCATTCTCAGCCCCAGGAGACAAAGACATATTTCTTAATTTGAACCAAGTAGACAACATAGAAGATTTAGTAGTACAAGAAAATGGAATTCAAAAACTATTATCCAACACCAAACCAAATAAAGCATCTGGACCTGATGGTATTCCAGCTAGATTACTCAAAGAACTAAGCAATGAGCTAGCCCCAGTGTTCAAAATACTCTTTCAGGCATCGCTTAACCAGGGCAGAGTACCAAAGGACTGGAAAGAAGCTAATGTCACCCCCTTATTTAAAAAAGGAGAAAAATCTGATCCAGGAAACTACAGACCAGTATCACTTACCAGCATCACATGTAAAATCCTAGAACACATAATATGTAGCAACATCATAAACCACTTAGACAAACATAATGTTATCACCCCATACCAACATGGCTTTAGGAAATATAGATCATGTGAAACACAACTAATAGGACTAATTGATGATTTTTCAAAAGGTTTAGATAATAGTGA